TAGTCGTATATATATATATATATATATATATATATATATATATATATATCTCTGTTATTAATATAAAAAGATTTATTATCCCGTTATGAAAATAATATAATCATTCAATAAAATCTATAACAGAATATTTGTTTACAAGCAGTGTTGGTAACGAACAAAGATTTAATATCATACAATAAATTTTACCATTTTAGGAACAAAATATTCACATATAAAAAAATCCTGCTTATACTTGTTGGAAATTGAATTCGCAAAATATTATGCGCTAATAAATAGTAAATTTCTGCGTGCGCGACGTCTTTAAATGTGTGTATGCGTATATCTCAGAGATAATTAAAACAATTCGCGATAATCGAAACAGAGAATGGAGCACATTAATTCAAGTATGTTACATCAAATGTCTATATTGATGTCTATATTCCGTTTGATATTGTGACAGAAATTTTTGCAGATTTTGCAGACATATAATTGCATTTAAAGAGACACAAATTGCGCAATGAATCCCTCCCCGTCACATTCGTTGTATCATGTCGTTGCAGCAGAGATGCAAAGTAAAAAATATCCGAAAGGATAAATATTCTCGAGTGATAGCGTTTAAAACTCTGATATCACCGATAAAACGCCGCGCTCTCCCATATTAATGCGTCGACAACAAAAACATTTTTTCGCCTATTAGCTCCGGTTTGGCGGCTCGCGGCGCTAAAATGATATTGAATGCGCAGGTATGAAATTAAAATGGCTCGCGTACAATACACACGACCGGCGGCGCGTCCCTGTTTTCGCCCGCGATTTCGAAAATGCGTATCCGGATTTTAATATATAGACGGAAATAATGGAAAAGAGCCGAGATATTAAATATCGTCGCGCGTGCCGCGATATTTACATTTAGTCTCGCGCAAAATATTTGCGAATCCGCGCGGCTGTATTACACGTATCGCATGAACCCGAAAACGACAACAACAACAACAATCTGCGCTGTCGGGGAGAAGGCACTACCGTTGTGCCTGTAGCCTACACCGCCGACCGACGTCAATGGTTCATCGAATGACTTTCCCCAGTGTCGGGTGACAGAGCTTTTAGAATCCATCCATGAGTAAACCAATCCGATGACTGCGAACGTATTACTATTATATCGTCCCGTCCCTTATGGTCTCAAATCGCGCGAGGGTGTAATGGAAATGATTTACCGTTTTATCACGATATATATATTATATACATACATAACGTACTTCATTAGATCCACTATTATTTGACAATATATATTTATGCTAGACACGAAGATACATGAAAAGTTTACCTTGGTTCACCTAACGAGAAATATTCTCTTTTCGATTAACTGAAATATAGGATTTTCTGAAAATTTATTTTTTTTTTTATATTTGTAAATGTGCGAACATAAAAGTTGTAAACGGGACTAGACATGCTACACAGACGATAGAAAATATGAGAAAACTCGGAAAGATTCTTTTCGCTTTTCTTTTCTTTTTCTTTAAAAGGAAACCCATTACTCTTTTCGAACGAAGCTCCACATATCCCTTTGCAGAGACGAAGTCTGATCGCGTCTGATTGTATTCGGAGACGAATTAAGCCGCTAATTGCGACTTCCCATGAGGATAATCTCACCTCATTAGATAATTCTGACATTGCTGCACATCGGTTCTATACGCACGAGGCTCAATAACGTCAAAGACCGTAATTGCTCGATTCCGCAGCCATTCGGAATAGGGCTCGGCATCCATATAAGCTCGAAACGCGAGAGATCTCGAAAGCCCTACAGTCTTTCCCTACATAACTCTGACCTAGATTTTCTATGATTTTATCTCGCTTCCGAGCTTTATCGATTTTTTTTATAGACAACTAGCGCGTGAACTTTATGCTACGTTTAACGGTAGAAACTAACGTTTAGGATTATTCGCATTATAGAGTTCCGTGTCACGTCGTGTCACGATGATAATTAAAGTTAAGTAAAGAAATTTGATAGTTTCTTCCGGGATACCGCATATATCTCAACGAGGTACATTCTCTTTTGCAATACGAAAACAAGAAGTGATTAGTTACTTTCAGGATATAATTGTACCTCTGCGTGCGTATGCGCAACGTCGTCTCCGTAATCTTTGCTATTTATAATCTCAATGGCATCCCTCATTCCGCTTAGCTACGGCATACCACAAATGATTTTTTGCCACTGGAGTCCTCCTTCGAATGTCGACGTATAATTGTCGTCATTAAAGCGACCATTATATTTTTCACGTCTCCCACTCAGAAATGGCAAATGATATTTGTAAAAATTGTCCGTTAATCGCTTGCATATCAAATATGAGAAAAAAATTCGCTCAATTTATACGACAATTTATACGACATAGGTAAGCATTACTTGTTAACCCCCGTCGTCAAACGTAAAAATACCGCGTGTGCGTTTATAGGAGAAGGTGACACGCTCCTCGCAAGGCAGAAAGAAAGCTCTAAGAAACGATCAATCAAGGCGTTAATGTATATGGGAATAATAAACGTGGGCAATGCACCGTAATCGCGGTGCTCATACCTGACGTGCGTTTTTAAAAAGGCTCAACGGTGTCGGCGGCGAAAAGGTTAATATCAGTTAAAGTTCAAGCGTGTTCCCGCGCGTTCAATGCGCGCTGGGACTGATGGCCGGGTGCCGATGCTTCGCAACGTCGCGACGCGACGCGACGCGCCGTTCCTCGCTCGGCTACGCGCGATAATTAAGTGTCGCTCGACGACGCTCGTCCCGCGCGGCCCTCTAATATCGCGGCGGCCCGATAATATCTGTAATCCGCGCAAAACGATTTCGACGCGCGTGGCAGCAGCATGAGCGCGCGTCGTACCGTGCCTCATAATTAGTCGGGAGATAGGGGAACGGCGGGGGGGGGGGGGAACAGAGGGAGGACGCGCGATCATAATTGCCGCGCGCGCGTCCGCGGCCGGGCACAATCAATTAAATGGTGCGCGCGTTCGCCACCACCGCGAGACGGAACAGGATCCACACTCCTCCTCCTCTTCCCCCTCTCCTCCCTCTCCTCTCTTGTCCCCATCTTCTCCCTTCTGCTATAAATCGACGTTTCCTTTTTTTCCCTCGAATAATCCCTAATTGAGTGGTCTGCGTGTACATCGGAAAGATAAATTTTGAAAAATCGACACCCGAGTCGCGCCCATGATAAATACAAATTGTCCATCTGCACTCTGGGATTATCGGCGTGAACATTAATTTCCTAGAATTTATATATCTTTCTTCGCTTTTCAAAAAAATTTCAAGGTATCTTAATAAAATAAAGAAGGATCTACACGTGTGTGTGTGTGTGTGTGTGTGTGTGTGTGTGTGTGTGTGTGTGTGTGTGTGTGTAGTAAT